TAAGGACTGAACAATAGATAATCTTCACATTTCAAGAGACCAGAAGGCTCTTGAATTTGGGGTAGGGTCTGCAAGAACGGGAATGAATGAATGAATGAATCCTGAATGAAAATCCTCCATTCCAGAGAGGGCCAGTGCCTGACCTCCCTGAGCCTGGAATTCCAGCTGCAAGAGAAGGCGCTTCTTAGGGAGACGGGGAAGGTCCTGGCTGCACTGATGGACAGACAAGTACCTCCTCCATCCTTGCCTTGGCCTAGCTGGCCTAGGTGGTACTTAACCTGTTCTTCAGAGATTCTTGGTTGGAGTCTTGTGTCCGAGAAGCTGTGGGGCCAGTTTTTGCTGCGTGAAGCTATTGTGGCTCCATTCCTTAGCTCTTCCCTTCCTGAACTCCTGAACCTCCAACCCCCTCCCCTCCACCTGCCTCCAGCTGGGGCCACTGCAGGCTGAGGTCCTGTCCAGAGTCACTGGAACTGGTCACACCTCTCATCTTTGTCCCCTCACAGGCACTGGGTTCCCTTTGCCCCCATCCCTCCCCCAAATCACACACCCATCGAAGGCATCAGGGATGGAAAGCTGGCGTTTGAACAGTTGAACAGATACGTAGACGTAGTCACAGAAAAGACAGCAAGCAAGGAAAAACTGCAGGAATTTCTCTGGTGGTTGGGTGGCTAAGGCTCCATGCTCCCGAATACACAGTTTCCATCCTTAGTCGGGGAACTAAGATCCCCCATCCCACATGGCATGCCGCAGAAACAAATTTTAAAGAATTGTGGCAACGATTTGTTTTCCTGAGAAATGACTGAGGATAGACATTGCTGCACGGTTTCCCCAGTGACTCTGGTAAAGAACCTGCCTGCAGTGAAGAAGATGCAGGAGACATGGGTTCGATCCCTGGGTTGGGAAGATCCTCTGGAGGAGGGCATGGCAACTCACTCCAGTATTCTTGCCTGGAGAATCCCATAGACAGAGGAATCTGACGGGCTACAGTCTGTGGAGCTGCAAAGAGTCAGACGTGACTGAAGCGACCAAGCACGCATGCACAGACTTTGCTGTAGCCAAGAGATACCTGTGCTGGGGGGCAAGGTGGGGGTGTGGGTGTCATCAAATGCTCACATCACTGCTGCAGCTGCTTAGAACATAGACTTTATCTCCTGCGATACGTGAAATCTCTTCACCACCTTCTCGGAACCAGGAGGGAGCAAGCTTCACACTTGCCCATGTGTGGTGCCTCAGCCTCTCCTGTCTTCTGGACGACTCCAGTTTCGTGTTTCCTGTCCCTTCTCCCGCTCCTCTCCCCAGTGGCAGCTGGAAGCTTCTGAGACCTGGTGCTGGCTGGGAGAAGGGTCTGGGACCCTCACTGGACTCTGCTGCAGAGTGACGGGGCTGGCCAGGCTTCTGGAATGGTCACCAGAGGGACGTTGGTCTTGTTTGGCCTTTGGGGGAGCCATGCTGGCTTTAGTACTGTTCCCCTGCGCATGTGCGGTGCTCATTCACTTCAGTTGTGTCCGACTCTGCGACCCCATGGACTGGAGCCCGCCAGGCTCCTCTGTCCATGGGCATCTCCAGGCAAGAACACTGGAGTGTATTGCCATGCCCAGGGGATCTTCCCAACCTGGGGATCAAATCAGTGACTCTTATGTCTCCTGCATTGGCAGGTGGGTTTCTTTTGTTTTACTGCTAGTGCCTCCTGGGATCCCCCCTGTTTGTCCACTCCCAGGCCACACACCATCCTCCAGGGGAAGCAGGGAATCCAGGGGTGTTGTCTCAGGCTCAGCTAGATGCCACTTTTCTTCACAACGGCCCTGCAGTCCTGGGGGATGCTGCATCTGCTGAAACCAGGATTTCTCCGAGAGGCTTGTGACTTGCCCAGGCTGTGCCGAGAGACAAGCCTTCAGCCTCTTGTTCACACCTGTCCCGCTGTTTCCAACCTCTTCAGCCCCTCATGTCTCAGTGGGTGGGGTAGGCCTGGGGGTGGGGTGCGGGGTAAGGACCCTGTGAATGGCCTCCACATTCTTCCTCCATCTCCTTTCTTTTTTCAATTTCTGCTGGGGCGGAAGGGACTAGTTTTCCACTTCCTCTTCCTTTTTTTCCACGGATGGCCCCATTGATATTTTTCTGCTTACTGTTTGCAGGTCTAGCCTCAATGGCCAAAGGGCTATTGCCCTAAGCTGGAAGACCCTATGGACCTAGAGGTTGAGGCCTGGTCCCTGATACGTCCCTGGGGTGTAGAGTCCTCATGAATCTCCACAAAGCCTGGCTTCCAACACTAGTGATGAGTGTTTCCAGACTCCCCTTTTCTCTTGACAAACCCTGACCCCTCCCAACCCTCTCTGAGGAAACAGCAGAAGGAGCCACACACCAGCAAAAGCACAGATATGAGGATTTGATGTGCTGGCCTTGCTTGGATGTGGAAAGGGTGCAAGAGTCGTGGGGACCCTGGCTCTCTGAGCACCCAGCCGCGCCCCCTCCCGCCTCCCCACCTCCCCTTCACTCACTCCACACGCTCCAGCCACACTGTCCTCTTTTTGGTCCCTGGACATGCAAACCTTTCCTACATCAGGGTCCTTCCAGCCAGCTGCTCACAAGACCTGCTTCTGGACTGCTTCTCCTCCAGCTGCTCACAAGACCTGCTTCTTCTCAGTCATTCATTCCTTCGACATGTTCTCACTGAACCCTTATCAATGATCAGGCTCCGCTGTGCTAGGTGCTGGGAATTTGATGGGCAGCAACAGGAACCTATGATCTGGAAATGCATGCATGCATGCTAAATCGCTTCAGTTGTGTCCCACTCTGTGACCCTATTGGACTGTAGGGTTCCACGGAACTCCTCTGTCCATGGGATTCTCCAGGCAAAGATACTGGAGTGGGTTGCCACGCCCTCCTCCAGGGGACCTTCCCGACTCAGGGATGAAACCAGTCTCATGTCTCTTGCCTTGGCAAGTGGGTTCTTTACCACTAGTGCCACCTGGGAAGCCAATGATATAGAAAGGGAGGGGGGTGCGATTCATCCCGTGGTTGGATGTGCACGTTCAGCTGTGGTAAGTGCAGGAAGGACCAGGACGTGACCTTGCTGTGAAGACTCCTAACAGGGGAATCTGATGGAGCTGCTTTTCCTAAGGAAGTGGCAATGAAGCTGAGATCTAAAGGAGAAGGAGGAATAGACTGGGTTAAGAGGGGAGAAAATAGTTGGTACAAAGGCCTTGCGGTGGGAGTGGAGGGAAGCACATGGCAGGACGAAGGGCTGAGGAATTGCAATGGGGTAGAAGTTGTGAGCAGAGGGTGGCTGATCTAGTCTTAAGCTGGTCTGTGGCGCATCCTTGGCTGAGTTTCATTGAGCGTGCGTTCTCAGTATCTCAAATCCATGCCCTTGTCTCCCTCTCCAGCAAAACACTGCTGACCTCTACTGACTGAGTCTGAGGGATGTTTTAAGGGATGCTCTGGCTTCTCAGAGCAGCATTTGACTGCTTCTTTCTCGAGGCTCCCACAGTGCAGTCTCTTTGGATTTACCCCCCTTCCTTTCCTTTATTTACTTTTAATTTTTAATTTTTCTTTTAAATTTTATTTAAAATTTAAAATTTAATTTAAATTTTTAATTTATCTGGACCAGGGACTGAACCTGGGTCCCCCGCATTGGAAGCGTGGAGTCTTAACCACTGAACTTTTCTGAATGATGCCTCTTGTCTCTTGTGTGATTGTCCTCCTCTGCCTGCGACCAGCTGCTGAGCTCCGGAGCTCCTCCACGCCCAGTTCCCTGGCCACTCACTCCCTGTTCAGGCGATCAGGCAATTCTCTCCACGTGGTGGCTCCAACCAGTACTTAAACAGATGACTCACACGTTTTATCACTCAGACCTCTCTTCTGAACCCTGGCTGTTTATTTAATATTTCCACTTAGAGGTCACCAAGGCTCTTCCCATCTCAACATGTGTCCAAAACCAAACTCAGGATCTTTTTCTCTAAATCCTGTCTTCCTCCAGACCAGGGTCTGTCTCAGGGCCCTCCATCCTCTTATATAAGCTGGAGATCTAAAAGCTCCTCAGTGTCTTTTTCGCTAGCATCCCTGTATCCAACTGATCACTGCATCTGGAGATATTACCTCCTGAGTATCTGTCTCTCAAGTTCACTCCACCTCATCACCACCAGCTGGGTCCAGGTCACCATCAGGTTCTGCTTTGATAGTCACTGCAACAGCTTCTTAACTGCTGTCCACTCTCCATTCTTGCTCCTTCCAACTTATTGTCCTCTCTGCTGCCAGGTGGAGCTCTGAAACAGACATAAGATCAGCTCACATCACATAAGCATGCCTGCTCAGTTGCTCAGTCACTAAATCATGTCCAACTCTTTGTGACCCCTTGAACTGTAGCCCACCAGGCTCTCTGTCCATGGGATTCTCCAGGCAAGAATACTGGAGTGGGTTGCCATTTCCTTCTCCAGGTGATCTTCCCGACCCAGGAATTGAACCCTTGTCTCCTGAATTGGCAGGCGGATTCTTATCTCTGAGCCACCACACACTACATGTACCCCTAGTCTTAAAATCCATCTATGGCTTCTTATTCCTCTTAGGAGCAAGACAGACCTTCAGTAACAAGCCCCTGCCTGGTTCTGAGCATCCTCTCACACCACTCTCTCCTTCCTGCCTCCATCGATGATTTCAGTGGAATTTGTGGGGCATGTGACCTTGTTACTTGGACTTGGGAAGCCTACTATCACATTGACAACTGTCTCTTGATCCTTATAAGCTTCAGTTAATAAGAGGAGCTTGTCTTTTCATCCTTGGAATGAATGTACTCCCCAAGGAGCCTGAGACCCCCTACATGTTATCACAAGCTAATTGGTTCTGATTAAGAGATATATTTTGTGTAAAGAATGGCCTATTTTCAAAATGCAGATTTGCCTGATTCCCTTTGATGATGAGACTAGGATCCAGGCTATTCCCAGGAAAAATCACTCTTGAGGAACCCCGCCTGCTTCTCTACAGATGCCTTTGTTTTCTCATTGTAGCCATGGGAATAAAGAAGTCTTCTCTTGCCGGGGAATCCAGCTGGCCGTGGACTGGTTTAGGGACAGAGGACACAGCTGCATCAAGGTTTTTGTCCCCTCCTGGAGGAAAGAGCCACCGAGGCCTGACTCCCCGATTAGAGGTATGCTGGGGCGGCTGCGCTCTCAAGACGCACTGCACACCTTTCCTCTGCAGCGCTCCTCACAGTTGCAGTTGTCTGCTTATCCTTTGTTTGATGATGTCTTTCTCGCTGAACTCTAAACTCTGTGAAAGCACAACCAGAGCCCTAGCATCTAGTGTATTACCTGGCATGTTGTAGGTGCCCAATAAATAGTTGTTGAACAGGCGATTGGGCATATTTACTCTTATAGTGTGAAAGATTAAGTTTCAAAAATAGCTATTTTATAAATTTCAACACTCTGCAGAAAAAGTTGGTCTGCTTCCCACCCCTAATAGAGTATAGGAAATGAAAGAGACATCCATTCGGTCCACTGAATATCTAGTCCAATCTCCTCATTTAAAAAAAAAAAAGGAAGTTGAGATCCAGGGAATTCTTTATTTTTAATTCTTACATCAGCTAGGAATATTTTAAGTTACGAAGAACAGAATAAGTCATTTAAATAAACAGGTTTTTGGGGGGGTTTTTTTGGTTTGTTTGTCTGGCTTTCTTATAAGAGGTCCCATCCTGAGATATTATTGGTGTTGTTTCAGCCACGTTAGTGATGGTATGACTGACCTCTAGTGATCCTGGGAGGTTTCATTGAGTTTTTCTTCTAGTCTTTTAACTGAAGGTTTTTGGTTTTGTTTTCAGTTCTATCAGTGTTTACCAATTGCTTCTTCTCTTTCTGATTCTATTTTAAATAAAATGCTTTTCTTGTTTTATTGTATCCTCTTGAATATTTCTATACTGATACAGGCTTTGAAAAGGTTCTCTGAAGGTCCATGAATCATATTTCTTTTCTCTGATAGTCTTTGTTCCCTTCTCTTTTTCTCTCTGTGCTCTTAAATCTTCTTTCCCAAAGTCTGGTGATCCTTTGCTTGTTAGTGTTTACTTGTGAATAAAGAACCAAACTGGTTAAATATACACTTGTGCAATTTCCATGGACTTTCTCTCCTGGTGTTTGGATCTTTCCCAAAAAGTCAAGGCTGACCTTTGACTATATTGACCAGCAGGGTTTGCTTCATCGCACCCTGCGTTCAACAGGCAAGAGGCAGCTGTTGGAACTGAAAGTGGCTTTGCCACAGGGGTGATGTTTTACTGTAGGCGGTCAAAGGCCTCCTCCTTTGTAGTTACATCTTCACTTCCCTTATAGGAAAGGGTGGATGCGGCTGCCCTATAGTAACCCTTCAGTTAATCATCTGACTTCTCCCCACTCTCCACTTCTACTGGAAAGCGGGGCTTTGCAGAGAACGGGCTCCACCTCTGCTTCAGCTTCTGTACACCTTCTGTACACCTTATGGCTCCCTCTTTAATGTAGGATCAGTATGATCCTACCTGCTGTCTGTCTTCCTAAATTTATCAAAATTTGGTTTTGCTGCTGTTTTTTTATGTGATTTTTAATGTGATTATGGACTCCTCCCCCTTCTGTACTTTTTCACTGCTCTTTCAATGAGGTTTTGAGAAGCCAGGGACTGAACACTTGTGTTCATCATGGACCACTCATCCCAGATTACTCTTTATGGTCTGAACGTGGAGGAGGGTGGCTTTCAACAGTTGTGCAATATTGTGCAATATATATTATGCAACACAGAATGGGTAAAGAGTAGGGAATTCACTTTGGGGTAGGGAAGAATTTTTAAACAAGCCACAAAAAGTGTCAGGAGATGGGAAAGAGTCATAAATTTGCCTACATTAAAATAAAAACTTCTGTTCATTAGTGGATACCACAAAAACAAGATCATGAAAAGACAAGCCTCAGACTGGGAAAGGCCACACATCACATATCCCTGGTGAAGGATTACGGTCCAGAATCTACAGGGAACTTCTGCAAGCTAGTAAGACTGAAAGGACAGATAGAAATATGTGCTGAGGCATGAATAAGCCTTTGACGGAAAACACAAATGGCCAATAAACATATGAAGAGATGTTCAGTTGTATTAGTAACCAGAGAAATGCAAAATAAAACCACAAGAGGCTACTTTATACCCTATCTATCTATCTATCTGTATATATACCCAATCTATGTATAGATTGGGAAAAACTTAAAAACCTGCAAATATCAAGTGCCGGCAAGTTCGTCTTAGATGCAGTGTTGAGTAGTAACTTGATATAACTACTTTGGAAAATGATTCAGCATTGTCTCATAAGGCAGCTTTCCCTACAACTCAGCAATATCACTTCTTAAGACAGACCCTGGAGAAATCCTTGTCTCCTGTACAGGGAGACGTCTGTGTAAAACCGATAACCCTGACATGGCCAGACCTCCCCCACACAATGTTCAACGAAGAAACAAGTTGCATAGGATATGTGCACGATGAGTCTATTCGTGTAAAGTCTGGAGGTTCATAATCACGTTGGAAATAATCCTTTTGAAGGGTACATACGTATGCATCCTAAAAAGTAAAAGCAAGGGAATTATAAACACAAAGTTCTAAAAATTGGGTTATCTTAAAGGGAGTGGAGGGAGAGTAAACTTCAGGCCGCAGTGGGGACTTCAAAGCATTCGTGCTGTTTCTCAAAGGGAGTGCTGCATGCATGGCATTTAACAAATTAATTATAAATTTAAATTGGAATATAATTGACTTACAGTATTATATTAGTGGGCGTCCCAGGTGGTGCTTATGGCAAAGAATCCACCCACACTGCAGAAGACATGGGTTCTGTCCCGGAGTCAGGAAGATCCCCTGGAGGAAGGCATGGCAACCCATTCCAGTATTCTTGCCTAGAGAATCCCATGGACAGAGGAGCCTGGCGGGCTACAGTCCATAGGGCCGCAGAGTCAGTCATGACTGAGCACAATTACATTAGTTTCAGGTATATGGCACAGTGCTTTGATATTTTTATACATTACAAAATGATCACCATGCACACATGTAATTTTTTAAAAGTGATTTTTGTGCCATTAAATGCATTATGCACTTTTTAAAAGTCTGGGAACCACGTCATATAGCAAAGGACTTAGACTTGAGAGGAGAAACGATTTGTGAAGAACGTGCTCATATTCTTCCACATTGGGAGTACCTGTTTCATGTGGAAGGAATTTCTTTTGTCTCCAAATTCGAAACTAAGATTACAGAGTAGACCTTCCAGGTATGCAGATTTCACCTCCTGTTAAGAGAACTTGTAACGCCTGCCCCGCCTGAGACACTCTCTCTCCTCCCAGGTTTCGTGGGGGCTCGCCAGCCCTCCATGGACTGGTTCAGTGTCCCCACAGATGCTGTGAGGCAGGTGCAGGAGTCATTTTCTTTATTTTATAAATGTAAAACTTGATGTTCAGAGAGGGGCGAAGCACCCCAGTGTCAAGTGTTAATTGCTCAGTCGTGTCCGACTCTTTGCAATTGTGGACTGTAGCCCGCCAGGCTCCTCTGTCCCTAGGATTTCCCAGGCAGGAATACTGGAGTGGGTTGCCACTTCCTTCTCCAGGGCATCTTCCTGCCCCAGGGATTGAACTTGAGTCTCCTGCATTGCAAGCAGAGTCTTTACCGTCTGAGCCCCAGAGCTGGAGCTAAGAACAGAAACCAGGCTGCAGATTCTGGCCTTTCCCTGTGACATTCTTGTGTCCCTCAGAGCTGCCAGTTGTGGGCTGCTCCGGCCTGAGCTGTCTTGGCAGATGCTTGTATCACAGAGGGTCATGGTTCTCTGGTAAAAGCTCCAGCAGGAGACTTCCCAGTGGATGCGGGGCTCCTGATAATTCATCAGGCATTGCCAGGATTCTAGTTAAAACAGGAAAGATGTCTTTCCCTAGAAACAGAACTCGTGTCTACTGTGGGAGGGGCATCGTGGCAGGTGAGAAGGACAGAGCCGGAGGTGCCACTCTTCCTTCCAAAGTGTGTCTCCCTGGCTGGGTACCACCTGCAGGACGGAAGCCAAGAGCCCACCTCACCTCAGGCTGCTGGCAAACACCTCTGCTTATGGCCTGATGGGCTGGGCCGTGGGGCGGGGTGGGGAGTAGAAGCGGCTGGGGGAAGGGGGAAGAAGAGGGGAGGAGGGGGCCATCGGAGAAGGAGCCTGGAGTTGCTGGACCTGCCCCGGGTCTGAGGCTGGTTCTGGGGGTGGGGAGTCCCCCACCCGGAGAAGACGCTCCATGCGTGCCCCTGCGGTCTGCAGAGCAGCACGTGCTGGAGGAGCTGGAGAGGCAAGCGGTGCTGGTGTACACGCCGTCCCGCAAGGTGAGCGGCAGGCGCGTGGTGTGCTATGACGACCGCTACATCGTGAAGCTGGCCTACGAGCAGGACGGCGTCATCGTCTCCAACGACAACTACCGCGACCTGCAGAGTGAGAACCCCGAGTGGAAGTGGTTCATCGAGCAGAGGCTGCTTATGTTCTCCTTCGTCAACGATCGGTGCGTGGGGCCCACGGGGTCCGGGGGTGCGTGGGGCGGGGGCGGTGACCGGCAGAAACCACCCCAACTAGCTCGGGCCGCGGGGCTCTAAAACAACCCTCCTCCACCATCTCTGTCGCCCTCCCGGTTCTCCTCTGTTTCGCGACCAGCTTTCCCCTTGGGGCTGTTTTGTCCCCACTGCCTGTGACCTTTCTGTTCCCGCGGCCACATCCGGCTGACCCAGCGCCCAGTTGCCTGACAGGTGTCCGGGCACGGTCAACATCCTCTTTTCCTTAGGGCTGTTAAGACCTTAGAACTGACTGTCCTAATACGGCTTGGTGGACATTTTCCAGAGAATCTGATTGATTTCATCTGCCCGCCCTGGGTCAGGTCCACCCCGGACCAACCAGCGACAGGGCGGTGGGTGGGGCGGGGAGGGTGTGGTCAGGGTCACAAGGCACAGGCCAGACAACAGGTGCAGGACAAGGGCCTCCGGGCAGAGCTACGGTGGGAGGAATGATGGGTGGTCCACGGCCGCAGGTTGAGGGGGAAAGGGGAGGAGCCTGGCCGGTGGGCGTGGCCACAAGGTGGGACAGGGTGGGGGAGGGCACGGCCGCTGAGACCTGGCTCCCATCTCAATTTCTGTTCCAGGGATGACAGCTCGGTCCTCATTCCTGGCTCTCTCCTTGGCTGTTAGGAATGTGGTCGAGGACAAGCTGCCCAGCTCTGTGAGGGCAGGGCGTGTATGTGTGTTATCTGCCACGGCCCCCAGCCAGCCTGGCACATGTGGGCACCCAATGGCTAGGAATAGTTGTAGATAGTGAGTGACTGTCCCTGGCTGCAGCCCTGGGGAAGGGGAGCTGGGGACAGACAGGCCATATTGCCGCTGTATCAGGATGCCTGCAGGCGGCAGACCAACTTAACCCTGGAGCCTGGGGGGCTGGGTGTGTGGTGGAAAGAGCTGGAAGCAGCAGATGAGGTTTCAAGCTGAGGCGCTGCCATTTACCGGCTGCGTGCGGTGGGCGAACTCTCAACCTCACTGGGCTGAGCGTTCTTCACCTTGAACTTAGCACGCTTTGGTTTAGTCAAGGGGCTTCCCAGGTGGCGCTAGTGGTAAAGAACCCACCTGCCAATGCAGGAGGCATAAGAGACGTGGGTTCAATCCCTGGGTCAGGAAGATCCCCTGGAGAAGAAAGTGGCTACCCACTCCAGTATTCTTGCCCGGAAAATCCCATGGACAGAGGAGCCTGGCGGGCTGCAGTCCATGTGGTCGCAAAGAGCCAGACACGACTGAAGCGACTCAGCACGCACGCACTGATTAGTCACTCTTACCTCTTAGGTGATCTGGAGGATCAGAGAGGCCTGTACCCCGTAGAGGCTGTGGTTACTCTTAGGTCAGGCCAGGACATGTGCCTCCAGGGGGGTGCTGGTGCCCCCACTACCCCCAGACTCACAGCAAAGGAGGCAGAGATTAGCTCCTAAGCCCCAGGGCAGATGGTCACAGCAGCTACCCTGCAGTAACCCCCACGGTCATATCCACATTCACAAGGCTGGCAGCTCCCTCTCTCTGGCTCCGCCCTGGAGGAAATCTGGCATGGCTGGTCATCATGGGATCCAGAAAATCCGCACTGAGTTCTGATGGATCATGGCCGCCTCTGGCCTGGCGACAACCCGGGGTCCAGGCCAAGTCCTCCTGACGCACTGGCCTTCGCTCAGGGCCTGCCCGGAGGTCCCCAGCTGCCAGAGTGCAGAGCCTGCCGCCTGCCCGAGGGCAAAGACGCCCTCCCCGCGCCCAGGGCATGTCCACAGGGCCGTCTTGGCCCAGCTCCCGGCTGTGAGGCCCGGGAAAGAGCAGGAGGTGAAGCCTCAGGGAACTTTTAATAACTGCACTGGGTGGCTCCCCGGATTCTTGGTCAGGGCCCAACTCTGAGAAGCCGGCTGTGTAGCTGGGATCTCAGCCACGGAGGCTGTCCTCGGCCGGGGATCGCCCAGCTCAGGGCCGGCCTGGTGGATGTGGTCTGCTGGGTGGGACCCCAGCATGACCCTTCACTCTTAGGGGGAAGCCAGTCTGTAAAAACAGGCCCCGATTAGAATCCACACCCTCTCTAGTGGAACCTTTGTATGACCTTCGAGTGTCTCCTGGGAATGAAAGCATTCATATAAAAAAAAAATGGGTTGTGCTAAATGAGGGAGTTTTCCTTCTGAGAAATGTTTTCCCCCTTGAGCCCTGGGCTCTGTGGATATGTTCCCTTTTTCCTTAATGCCTGGGAAGGGAAGGGGCCGGCAGGGGGCAGGGTGGTGTCAGAGAGTGACAGAGTGACATTCCCCCCCAGCCCCCAGGTTTTTGGGGGGTGGGGTGGAGCCCAGGCCGCACCTGTGTGCAGGCCGCCCCTGTATCCTCTGCCTCACTGACCCACTGACTGGCCTTTCAGACCCTGTAAATTTTTTATCCTGCACCAGAGAGGCCCAGAGCTGTGGGGTGACACGGGAGAAATGAAATTCACAAGATGAGAGGCCGTTTGTGGCCCCACAGAGGTCTCTAGTCATCCATTGAGGACTCTGGAAGGCAGCATAGAACTGCTTTCAGACTAAGTTCCGGGGAGACCTAGTGCGCTGCTGTTTCAACTTAAGTGGCTAAAATCTACCTGGAAAATTGTCAAAATGCAGATTCCTGAAGAGCCCGAGCTTCTGTTTAAGCAGGTCTCCTGTGAGGCCCGGAGCCTGCCTTTTTCGAGGAGCTGCTGAGCGAGTCTGACGCTGCTGACTCAGCAGGAGAAACACCTGGACGGGGCCCGGGGCCGCTGTCCTGGGAGCTGTCCGTGCTGGGCTCTGTACCGGTCAGTGCGGACAAAGGTTTCGCATCTCTGACACGCGGCAACTCCCGGGTGGGAGAAAGAGCCCGGAACCGAGAGGCCAGGCCTGCTGCCGCCTCCGCCCCCTCCCCCAGCTGCCAGTGGTGAGTTTCTGGGGGGCTTGCAGTCACCCACCCCCATGCTTATTTTCCAGGTTCATGCCTCCTGATGACCCCCTGGGCCGTCGGGGACCCACCTTGAACAACTTTCTGAGCAGGAAGCCAAAGCCCCCAGAGCCGTCCTGGCAGCACTGCCCCTACGGTGGGTAGCACCCCACATCTGTGGGCCCTGTTCAGGTCAGCTGTGCTGGCCTGGGTTCCAATATTTCATGTTTCTAGAAAGGTGTAAGGTAATATAGGCTGCGTCCTATGTGTATTAATAAGCAGATAAAGAATATATGGAGGCTCTGTTTGGATGTATAGATCTCATGATTCATCCATAAGTCACGTCTTGGCAAATGTGTGTAACTGATGAGAAGGTTGTTATTGTGTCTGATGTGTAGTGTATTGTTAAAAATAGACCTGTTAAGATTTGTGAAATTAAGCAAATGCCTAAGAGAGAACCAGAGTTTCATCCTGATGAGATGTTTGATGGTCAGCAGCGTGGGCTGTAGTCTGGATTCTGCCCTTAGTCAGCTGTGTGACCCTGGGGAGGAAACTGAACCTCTCTGGATGGCACTCAGAAAGCTGTAATTATTGTCATTGTAATGATGAACTGCCTGTTGCATAAGGCTTGTGAGGGCTGGATGCAGGGGTTACCCACAGACAAAGCCACGTCTAGGAAGCAGGATTGCTGTCTGTGTGCACCCCCAAGCTCTCCTTTCTCAGGCCCTTCCCCTGGCGCCTTGTGCCACCATCCTGCCCCACAGTCTCCCCCATCTCCTACTTTGGTTGGTAGGAGACTTTGGTTGGTGCTATCCACTGAGAATTGAGGATTCTATCCCAGAGCCCTCCAGGGACACCAGCCTTCTAGCCAGTTCTTTCACTAGCTTGTTTTGGCAAGTTATTTAATGTACCCAAGTCTCGTTTCTTTGTGCCTATAAAAGTTAAGGACGCCTTAAGTGATACTGAAGGGGCTTCCCTTGTGGCTCAAGTGGTAAAGAATCCACCTGCAATGCGGGAGACCTGGGCTTGATCCCTGGGTTGGGAAGATCCCCTGGAGAAGGGAAAGGCTACCTACTCCAGTATTCTGGCCTAGAGAATTCCATAGGCTGTATAGTCCATGGGGTCGCAAAGAGGTGGACACGACTGAGTGACTTTCACTAAGTGATACTGAAAGTCATTTCTTGTTAGAATTAAGGTGCTCACACACACATTCTGGTGGCCCATTCTTCTCCCTTCCACTCTCAGAACGGCCCTGGTTTGGATGATAAATTATTTGATCATCTCTGTTAAAACAGTCTATAAGGAAGAGGGCAAGGGTTGGCACAAGGGATGTGGACCGCGGGAGGGTCGGGGTGGGGGGGGGGAGAGATGGAGGGTGGAAGGAGGGAGGAAACCGAGTTAGCAGTGAAGGCCCATCCATATGCACCTACTCTTCACCTGCGAGGTTGGCAGGACCCACAGGATCCCTGGGGAAGTAGAGGCTGAAGGTCGCTGGACCCAGAGATTTGGTCTCAGTTCCTGGTTATGGAGCCGGTAGACAAGACCTTGCCTTGAGCTGGTAACGCTGGGGTACAGTATGCAGAGCCCAGTACCACGAGAAGCACAGTGCTGCGCCCGCATCCGTCTTGTCGGCGCCCCAGGACACTTCTTGCCCTCCACCTCCTCTCGCCCCAAACCGTATAAGGCTGCAGCAGGCCTGGGGGCCTACCCCCAGGAATTGCCAACAAGACAGGCGGCGCCAGGCGGCCACTCCCGGGACCCCACGGGAGTCCTCACTCAAGGTCTCACCAGCCCCTCCCCTCCACCCCCACTCTGTCCCTTCCAGGCAAGAAATGCACCTACGGCATCAAGTGCAAGTTCTACCACCCGGAGAGGCCACACCAGGCGCAGCTGGCGGTGGCCGACGAGCTCCGCGCTCAAACGCGGGCCTGGCGGGGCGCGGGCGGCGAGGAGGAGCGGCGGGGGAGCGCGCATGCAGCCAGCCTGGCGGAGCAGGACGGCTCCCGGGACGCCCTTGCCGCCCGGCCCGGCCCCCGGGAGCCTGGCACGCGCAGCCTGCCCCCCGCGCGGCAGTCGGCGGGCGTGGCGACTCTCGAAAGCAGCTTCTCGCGGCTCTTCCTGAGCGACGACCCGGGGCTTCTCCGGGTGCCCCCTCGGGGTCCCGGCTGTGGCCTCACGCCCAGGCCGCGCGGTCCCGATTGGGTGGCACCCGGGTCCTTGTCGCCCCTGCCAGCCCCACCCGGCCTCCTGAGCCAGCCCGGCCTGCGGGGTGGGTATGGCGCCTGTGCCCCGCAGAGCGACCGGCGCTCCCCGCGCCAGCAGCCTGGCGACCCGTGGGTCCTTCCTCCAGGCGCTGGCCAGCTCCCGGGCCGCTCGGCCTGGGCCGAGTCGGACTGGGACGACGGTACCTTCGGGGGGCCCTTGAGGCCCGCGTCCCAGGCTGTAGCTGGCGAGGTGGACGCGCGTGCCCGGGCGCGCACCGCGCTCTACAGTATCTTCCCGCCCCACGAGGTGGACAGCATCATGGCCCTGTTCCCCGAGCTCTCCGACGTGGCCAGGCTCATGCTCCTCATCCAGAGATTCCAAAGGTCCAGTGCACCCGTGGGGAAGCGCTGAGGAGCTAGTGGAAGCCACCGCGTGTGATGACCCAGTCTTGCCTTGTACCCTAACTGGGCTGGTGGCGAAGATCAGCCGGCACGTGGGCTGGCCCACCCTGTGGAGCCAGCCCCTTTCGCTTTAAAGATGGTCAGTTCCCTGGAGGAGGCCAGCTTCATCACCCTTTGAGGTGCCCATGGCGGTGCTTGATGACCTTCACTGATGACACAGGGGCCGCTGCTGAAAGTCCATGTCCTGCAGAATAAGGTTGACCTTATGTGGCAGGAGTGATTTCTCCTGCCTGAAGACTAGGAGGCCCACTAGGCCCCCAAGGTTTTGTCCAGAGCACTCCCTGGCTGTTTTTGTCCCGCTACAACTGGGAGTCCTAAGTTGGTCACAAGATCAATTTAGTGAGTGACACCTGAAATAGAGTGAAATAGGAAATGGCAGAGCATACCCCACTTAAACAGGCTGAGTAGGAAATTCTTCTGTTAGCTACCAGTATGCTTGGTAGCTATATATATTCTTGGCTTCCATGGACAGAGGAGTCCGGCTGGCCCATAGGGTCATATAGAGTGGGACAAGTCTATATGAAGCTACTTAGCGAGTGCACGCGCGTGCGCGCGCGCGCGTACACACACACACACACACACACACACACACACAGAGCCATGCGAACTTAATGTGGGACATGGGCAAAAGGGGGGAAACTGGTAAAAGGCCTTGGATTTCATTGCAGCAGATCAAGTGTGAAATCTGTCGTCAGTTGGCCAGTGGAGATGTTGGCACCTGGAGGTTTTCATATGAGCTGTTTCTAACCTCTGAGGGGAACCCAGAGTTCTAGCTTCCATGTATGGGCCCTACTTGTCACTCTGAGATTGTGTGGCTGTGCTGGTTTGTGGAGGTGTGGCGGGTCACCTGGTACTGGGCCCTGACGCCCACACACACCCCACTTGACTGAGGGCTAAGTGTCCTCGTTTTTCGGCCAGCTGTCCATCATGGTGGTGTCCAGCCCAGGCCCTCTACTGTACTGGCCAGGCCTTCTGAGCCACACCTCCGAGCTGAGCCCAATCCCGGTGAGTTAGGACTTTTGCTCAGAAACCTCCAGGGGGATCCTAGGAGAGCTCGGATGAGCCTCTCAGTCCATGAGGTTTCTCGCCACCTCAGCCATTGCTGTTTCTCCTAGCTAGCTGCTGCTTTGAGTTTGGGGAGGGGAAGGGAGGGCTTACATATTTGCAATAGACAGAGATGAGGCAGTGCTGCCAGGATGCAGGCCCTGTGTCCTCTGGAGCCCTGGCAGCTCTGGGTGGCATCTACCCATTCACTCCGGGGTACCAGTCCAACTCACAGATCTTGGCTGCTTTGTTCTTGAGAAGACCTGAGGCACCTCCCAGTGGAAATCCACCTCTCAGACCCCGGCAAGCCTGCAGACTGGCAAGCACTACCAGGGTTTCCCCTGGAGAATCTGCTTCTGTGCCCTTCAGTATGGTCAATGCTACCTTTAGAGATACAGAGATGATGTATTTCCTGCAAACCCTTTCATCTTTTTAAACCAGATTCTTAGTGTGGTTTCAGTCAGATCTCTTCCTCGCCTCTTTTTTTCCAAAGAGGAAACACACAAAATTGTACCTTAGTATTTTGAGACCATGGTCCTGAAAAAGACCCAGTCTTTCTAGACAAATTGGATTTCCCTCACGGTGGTTTTTATTTTCTTTTCGACAAGACAAGCTTTCTGGTAGAGCTGCTTTTGTCTCTTGGGTCTGTGTCCTGACTTGGAATTGTTGTGTTGCTGATATACAGTGAGGAATGTTTAAACTGCTTCCTTTGAGGACAAGTTTGAGTTTTAGTAAGCTGTAAAGCTATTTTATTTGGTTCACTGTGATTAAGACAAGCACAAAAAAACGTGAAGAAACAGCACATTTCAATGTAATCCCCTTTGGAATTTTTTTCCAAAGTCTTGGTATGTCTTTGTGACACAAAACATGAATGGGATGGGAGTGAATAGAATGTTCCTAGTTGCATAGCTGCTATTGTGTTCCAAGAATAAATCGTTTTTTTTCCTGCACCTGGAGTCTCCATTGTCAAATTGCATATCAGTTTCTCTTGTGGTAGCTTCTCACCTCCCCCATGCCCAGGGCTGGCTTCTCAAGTTAGATACTGTGCGTGTAAAGGCTGAGGCTATAGTTGCTTTACTGTTATTTCTCCCTTAGGGGAGGTGGGAGAGGGCTGAAACTCACCGTTTCCAGGAGAAGCAGCAAGGCCCAAGTGAGACAAGCCTTTGCTGGATGCTCAGCAGGCTGTTGCTGAGGACGCCTGCAGAGTTCTCCATCGCTTGAATCTAAGCCTCCCAGGGCTGGGCCATGTTTAACCACACGGTGTAGCTTTCCCAGAGGCCTCTAGGAGGTGGTTTGAGACACAATCACAGAATTCCGGAGGTTGAGGGGTAGATGCAAGAGAAGCCACTCATGTCAGCATTGTTCTGGATCAAGTGAATCCCTGCTCTCAAGATTTTATACAGAGCTTGGATGGGGAGCAAGAAGCCAACTGCATGCGGGCACAGGTATGACTCCCTGTCTCTGGGAAAAATAGTCTCCTGTGGGGGAGAGCAGGATAGGGGAGGGGGTGAATGGAAGGGTCATTAAGAAGTGGGTGATGGAAGAGTGAGCTCTGGGAACTGGAGCAATAAAGTGGGGTCACAAATCCCACCAGGAGGGACTGTGACCCCGTGCAAAATTAACCTGTGAGACATACACAAAATCAAAAAGCAGGGCTCTGTGTTTAAAAGTGATCAAGAATTTCAAGACATTGGGACTACCCTGTTGTTCCGCCTGCCAATGTAGGGGACCCAGGTTCGATCCCTGGTCTGGGAACTGAGGTCCCACGTGCTGCAGGGTAACTAAACTTGTGTGCCACAACTACCGAAGCCAGCGTGCTCTAGAACCTGTGCTCTGCCACAAGAGAAGCCCCCGCAATGAGAAGCTTGCACACTGCAACTAGAGAGTAGACCCCAATCACTGCAACTAGAGAAAGCCCATGAGCAGCAACAAGGACCTGGCACAGCCATAAATAAATAAGTAAATACTATATATATATAAAAGAATATCAAGACATTGCCAACTAAGCATTGAAACAAGACCTTCTAAGTGCCCACCTCTGATGCAAGGGGCTGAAGAAGAGAAGCTGGGAGGCTTGGGCAAACCACACACTAGATCAGCCACTTGCAAGTGCATAGGAGATATAGGTAGGGACGGCTCTAACAGGGCAGCAGTCACACTCATTGGTATCAGGTGAGGTGGTTTTTCACAAGCACTGCTCACAAACCTAAAGGTGGGAGCTAGGATGGGGGCAACTATGGGGCCGAAATTAGGGGCTTGAGCCCTGTCAGGACTCTCTCATCTGTTGTCTTCCATATGTGGAATTATCCTCTCCTTTTAAGGACTTCCCTATACAATGAAGGAGAAGGAAACGGCAACCCACTCCAGTGTTCTTGCCTGGAGAACCCCATGGACAGAGAAGCCTGGTGGGCTACAGTCCATAGGGTCACAAAGAGTCAGACACGACTGAAGTGACTTAGCACATAGCACATAATGAAAGCCATTCTGTTGGCACACAGGCACATATCCTTCTGGCTAAAGGACTCAAGAGGCAGCCTCAGAAAACTTTTGGGAAGAATTCTGATTGGTCGGGCTTGGATCACGTATCCACCCCAACCAGTTGCCTAGAAGTTCTGCCCTTGGTCCAGCTGGGCCTCAGGTCCACCTGTGGGCAGAATGAGGGGGCACACTGATTGTCAGTTCATACCTGAATCCACAAGGTTTGTGGGGAGTTGATGGAGATGGTCAGAGCTTCCATCAAACAAGTGGGGACAGTGTCCAGGCAGACAAAGCAAATATCCGATGCACAGGAAAGCCAAACTGCTGACACTGTGCGTGCTAAGTCGCTTCAGTCGTGTCCAACTCTTTGTGACCCTATGGACTGGAACCCAGGCTCCTCAGGTCCATGGGATTCTCCAGGCAAGAATACTAGAGTGGGTTGCCATTCCTTTCTCCAGGGGATCTTCCTAACCTAGGGATCGAACCCGAGTGTCCTGTAGCTCCTACATTACAGGCAGATTCTTAACCACTGAGCCTCTAGGGAAGACCATACTGAAACTGGGTTGTGGGGAAAGAAAGTACAGTTTAATTGGATGGAGCCAGGCAAGGAGAATGGGCACCTGATGCTCAAAACACCCAAACTCCCCAGTGGCTTTCAGGTAAGGGTTTTAAAAGGCAACATTAGACAAATTTTTGATTGGTTGGTGATGAGGTAACAGTGTGGTGTTTTCAAAATCTCAGTCATCAGACTACCAGTTCAGCTCATCTAGGATCCACCTGTTTGTGATCAGCAGTTTTCACCTGGTGGGATCCTGGCTTCTGTAAAAACAACTTAAAAATGTGATCAGAAGTTTGTCTGTATCCCTCAAGGAAAACTAGAAGCCTTATGATTCTTTTACAGCTGATCTATTATTTAGGTTATCATTTAGCTCTGGGAACTGGAGCAATAAAGTGGGGTCACAAATCCCACCAGGAGGGACTGTGACCCCGTGCAAAATTAACCTGTGAGACATACACAAAATAAAAAAGCAGGGCTCTGTGTTTAAAAGTGATCAAGAATTTCAAGACATTGGGACTACCCTGTTGTTCCGCCTGCCAATGTAGGGGACCCAGGTTCGATCCCTGGTCTGGGAACTGAGGTCCCACGTGCTGCAGGGTAACTAAACTTGTGTGCCACAACTACCGAAGCCAGCGTGCTCTAGAACCTGTGCTCTGCCACAAGAGAAGCCCCCGCAATGAGAAGCTTGCACACTGCAACTAGAGAGTAGACCCCAATCACTGCAACTAGAGAAAGCCCATGAGCAGCAACAAGGACCTGGCACAGCCATAAATAAATAAGTAAATACTATATATATATATATATAAAAGAATATCAAGACATTGCCAACTAAGCATTGAAACAAGACCTTCTAAGTGCCCACCTCTGATGCAAGGGGCTGAAGAAGAGAAGCTGGGAGGCTTGGGCAAACCACACACTAGATCAGCCACTTGCAAGTGCATAGGAGATATAGGTAGGGATGGCTCTAACAGGGCAGCAGTCACACTCATTGGTATCAGGTGAGGTGGTTTTTCACAAGCACTGCTCACAAACCTAAAGGTGGGAGCTAGGATGGGGGCAACTATGGGGCCGAAATTAGGGGCTTGAGCCCTGTCAGGACTCTCTCATCTGTTGTCTTCCATATGTGGAATTATCCTCTCCTTTTAAGGACTTCCCTATACAATGAAGGAGAAGGAAACGGCAACCCACTCCAGTGTTCTTGCCTGGAGAACCCCATGGACAGAGAAGCCTGGTGGGCTACGGTCCATAGGGTCACAAAGAGTCAGACACGACTGAAGTGACTTAGCACATAGCACATAATGAAAGCCATTCTGTTGGCACACAGGCACATATCCTTCTGGCTAAAGGACTCAAGAGGCAGCCTCAGAAAACTTTTGGGAAGAATTCTGATTGGTCGGGCTTGGATCACGTATCCACCCCAACCAGTTGCCTAGAAGTTCTGCCCTTGGTCCAGCTGGGCCTCAGGTCCACCTGTGGGCAGAATGAGGGGGCACACTGATTGTCAGTTCATACCTGAATCCACAAGGTTTGTGGGGAGTTGATGGAGATGGTCAGAGCTTCCATCAGACAAGTGGGGACAGTGTCCAGGCAGACAAAGCAAATATCCGATGCACAGGAAAGCCAAACTGCTGACACTGTGCGTGCTAAGTCGCTTCAGTCGTGTCCAACTCTTTGTGACCCTATGGACTGGAACCCAGGCTCCTCAGGTCCATGGGATTCTCCAGGCAAGAATACTAGAGTGGGTTGCCATTCCTTTCTCCAGGGGATCTTCCTAACCTAGGGATCGAACCCGAGTGTCCTGTAGCTCCTACATTACAGGCAGATTCTTAACCACTGAGCCTCTAGGGAAGCCCATACTGAAACTGGGTTGTGGGGAAAGAAAGTACAGTTTAATTGGATGGAGCCAGGCAAGGAGAATGGGCACCTGATGCTCAAAACACCCAAACTCCCCAGTGGCTTTCAGGTAAGGGTTTTAAAAGGCAACATTAGACAAATTTTTGATTGGTTGGTGATGAGGTAACAGTGTGGTGTTTTCAAAATCTCAGTCATCAGACTACCAGTTCAGCTCATCTAGGATCCACCTGTTTGTGATCAGCAGTTTTCACCTGGTGGGATCCTGGCTTCTGTAAAAACAACTTAAAAATGTGATCAGAAGTTTGTCTGTATCCCTCAAGGAAAACTAGAAGCCTTATGATTCTTTTACAGCTGATCTATTATTTAGGTTATCATTCCTTTTTTTTGAGTTGACTGCTTTTCCAGTGACTCAGTGGTAAAGAATGCACCTGCAATGCAGGAGACGTGGACTCGACTCGGGTTGGGAAGATCCCCTGGAGAAGGAAATGGCAACAGACTCCAGTATTCTTGCCTGGAGAATTCCATGGACAGAGGAGCCTGGGGAACTACAGTCCATGGAGTCACAAAAGAGTTCAGACACAACTGAGTGACCAAAGAACAACAAAAATCACTAACTGCTTTGAGTCTGTTCTTTGGGACTCAGGGAAGCCTCGGAGACTAGGGCATTTTCTACAAGCAAGAGACGGTAAACACAGCAGGTCTGCACTGAGGAAGGTTCCCTGTGCCTCAGGGCTCAGAACGGCCTCACCCTCTAGTACCCTCAACGATGGCCCTACCCGAGAAAGAAGCTGCTGTTTATTCTCTGTCCCCATTAGTCACATCCACAGACAGCAGAGAGCAGAGCTTTCTGTGGGAGGAAGTGGGGAGGGCCTGCTGCCACAGCGCCTGAGGTATCATGGTGTTTGTCCTGCCAGTCCTGGGACTGCGGCCAGGTGAGTAGTTAGGTGAGAGACTGCCAGAACCCCTGCGGGGGAGGAAGCGGCTCCTCAGAGTCAAAGGCGACCTGGTTCCCTCTCAGTCACTTACTTCTCAGCTGATGCCCTCAGG